TCTCTCTCTCTCTCTCTCTCTGCCCCTCTCTGTCCCTCTCCCCTGTTTGCAGTCTCTCTTTCTAAACAAACAGACAGACAAACAAACAAAACCGGGCAAGAGTGGCATAGTGTGTGGAACTATGAAGTTCACGTTGGCTAGTGACATGATCTGCAGGAGGGCAGCCCGCATCCACATGCAGAGCTGAACTGTGCCCTGAGAGACTGGAGTTCTCTGCAAGTTAGGGAAGGTTCTCAGGATCTTCTCTCCTATTTCCCTCCCTCCCTCCTCTCCCTTCTTTCCCTCCTCCATGGGAAATTTCACACATACCTACAAGTAGAATCAAGAGAACAACGAACTCCCTGGGGCCCACCAGCCAGCTACAGAGAGCAGCGTGTTTCCAGCACCCTTCTTTCATCTGTATCCCCCCCCCCCCCCACCTCCGCCCTCCACTTCCACCACTGGATTATTTCACAGCAAATCCTAGACATTATACCATTTTATCCATACATATTTTAGGCTGTATTAAAATTTTTTAATGTTTATTTTTGAGAGAGAAAGAGAGAGAGACCGAGAGCATGAGCAGAGGAAGGGCAGAGAGAGAGAGAGGGAGACACAGAATCTGAAGCAGGCTCCAGGCTCTGAGCCATCAGCACAGAGCCCAATGTGGGGCTCGAGCCCAGGGATGGTGAGGTCATGACTTGAGCCGAAGTCACAGGCTTAACCGAATGAGCCACCCAGGTGCCCCTCCACATCCTTATTTTCAAACAAATCATAGACATCATATATTTTCACATGTAAATATTTCAGTATATGTATTTAAAGGGATGTGCCCTCTGGATGCCTTCCTCACCCCCTTTGGGCTCTAACACCTATTTACAGGTCTCTCTCTGGGCGTATCTGTTTAGTTCCATTGGTCTATTTGGCTATCCCTGTGCCAATACTACACTATCATAATTGCTATGGCTTTTATAATAAGTCTTGATATCTGGTAGGTAAATTCCCCACCTTGTACTTTTTCAGGAGTGCCCTGAATATTCTTGGCCTTTGTTTTACCATGTCAGTTTTAGAATTTGCTTATCAAGCTCTATGAAAAAGCCCTCTTGGGATTTTGCCAGGAATTGCATTGAATCCATGTTGTTTTATTTGCACATTAAAAACATATCTTTTTAAGTTTATACGTTTATTTTGAGATAAAGAGAGTGCATGGGAGGGGCAGAGAGAGAGAGGGAGAGAAAGAGAGAGAGTCTCAAGCAGGCTCCACACTGTGACAGTGCACAGCCCCTTATTTGTACATTTCTTAATGAATCTATGTTTGTGCACATATAAACACACACACACATTCATATCTCCCTCCCTCCTTTCTAACATGAAAGATTGCTTACTGTATACATTGTTCTGTGCCTTTCCTTTTTCTTTAAAAATTTTTTTTACTTATTTTTAAGAGTTATTTATTTTATTTTAGACAGAGTGTGAGTGTGGGAGAGGGGCAGAGGCAGAGACAGAAAGAATCTTAAGCAGGCTCCGCACTCAGCATGGAGCTAGACCCAGGGCTCAATCCCACCACCCTAGGATCGTGACCTGAGCCGAAATCGAGAGCTGGACACTCAACCAACTGAGACACCCAGGCACCTCTAATTTTTCGTTTTCTTTTTGAGTAATCTCTACAGTCAACGTGGGGCTTGAACTCACAGCCCCAAGATCAAGAGCTGCACACTCTACCAAGTGAGCCAGATCAACAGTGTATCATGGAGGTTGTTTTCTACTGGTGCATAACCCTAAAACTTAAGTAGCTTAAAACAGTCTATTATTTGTCATGATTCTGAAACGTGAGTCAGATCTGTTGGGCAATCCTTCAGCTGCGTAAGATTGTCTCTCCCTCTCTTTGCACCCCCCCCCCCACTCTCTCCCTGTCAAAATAAATAAATAAATTTAAAAATATCATTGTAAGGTTTTAACAAAGGGTTTTACAGCCGCATCTAGATTTGGTCTTAACCTTGAAGCCGTTTTGTTACTTTGAAAATCTGTAAAGGCTGGCGGTGAGAAATCGTTTTGAAGAGTACTGGGTTGAAAACATTTCCTCTAAACTCTGCTTGAAAACGATTCCTAAACTGTGCCTGCTTTAGCTCATCTCCCTCTTCCTGTTCTTTATCAGAGGTGGCTAAAAGAGGCAATTGGCACTTTTGTCTTCCTGCCTAGAAGTCTCCTTAGCCAGACACCCAGGTTTGCTAGGTGCATTTTCTGGCTTCAGTATTACCATAGGTGAGAATATTTCCAAATGTTCCACTGCTAGGTAACACGTAGTTTTAATTTTTATTTATTGATTGATTGGTTTATCTTTTAGAGAGAGAGAGAGAGAGCATGCTCATGAGCTGGGGAGAAGGGCAGAGGGAGAAAGAGAGAATCGTTTTTATAAATGTTTATATATTTATTTATTTTATTAAACAGTTTTTAAATTTAAAGACAGAGCACAAGTGGGGGAGGGGCAGAGAAAGAGGGGATACAGAATCCGAAGCAGGCTCCAGGCTCCGAGGTGTCAGCACAGAGCGCAATGAGGGGCTCGAACTCACAAACTGTGAGGTCATGACCTGAGCCAAAGTCAGACACTCAACTGACTGAGCCACCCAGGCGCCCCTATTTATTTTGAGAGAGAGAGAGAGAGAGAGAGAGAGAGAGAGAGAGAGAAAGCACAGGTGGGGAAGAGGGTCAGAGAAGAAGAGAGAGAAACCCAAGCAGGCTCTGTGCTCAGTGTGGACCCCAATGCAGGGCTGGATCCCATGACCCTGGGATCATGACCTGAGTGGAAACCAAGAGTCGGACACTTAACCAACTGAGCCACCCAGGCGCCCCGAGGAGATTTAACATTGGAACTCAACTTTCCACAGGCATGAGAGGAGCTCAAGAAGTAAAGGT